TTCAGAAGACTGTAGGAAATGTGAGTTCTGCTTGCTCATGATCTAGTGTTGCACATATCATACTTATCTTTTCGGGAATTTGTTTCTATGCATAATAACCTTTTATGATTTAAATTGTCTTTTGTATATGCGGTTCCATCAGCTATAGACAAGATATCTGCTAAAGGCTTATTGGTGTTTGGCTCTTTCTTCCCATCCCCAAGCACTAGTGGATTTCACTTCAATGATTTATACACATTTTCTAAGTGCACGAAGTTATGTGGATGATAAGTGTAACATATCTAGATATCAAATATACCAGCTTTCCTAGTAACATTATTTAATGACATTTAAAATGAAGCACTTTGATAGCCATAGAAGAAAGAAAGTTTGGTCACTTTTCTGAGTGTCTTCTTAAGTTCTTAACTTAGTACACAGGTACAGTTTCTGTATCTCTCTTATGTGCTACATCTTATATCAGAAACTTTTTCAAAATAAAAAGAAATTTACTTTAATTATATGCATTGTTAACTTCAACTAGTTGAACAGCTCGTTAGACAGAATATTGTGTCAATGTTTGTCTGTATCATTTGGGAGTAATGGCATGCCCAACATAGGCAGGCCTTGTGAGACAGATGGACTGAAACAATAGACATGCTCTAATGTATGATTTGGTTTTGAATTCAAGCTGCGTGCAGGTAATTAGCTTTAAAGAATTAGTCATTGTACGTGAGAGTAAGCTGCTGTTTAATATGAGTCTAAAGATCTGAATGGTCTTGATAATAAGTTCAATGTCATAAAATGATATTAGAATAAGTTTGAAATGGTTATAATAATATCTACTCCATTGATTTTGATCTTCAATGTGACTAATTTGCAGGCAGTTGCTGCTGGAAGCCTAATAAATCTTGCAACTATCTTGTATATTAATTCCATTCGAGTAAGCTATCAAATTTTCTTTTGGTATATATATATATATGACATCGTGTTGCCTGTTGCCAAATTTTAACTAATGCTCAATTCTGATGTTATCTATTTCTTTTCAGTTTCCTGCCATTGTAGCATATGTCTTGTGTGCATTTTTCGGCCTTCAGGTTCTCATAGGCATCATTAAGGTAAAGAAGTTTGATGAGCGGGAGAGGTTGATAACGGGAACTGCTTAAACAATTGGTGAGTGAAACTTATTCTATTGATCTTTGTCTCTGAAATTATTGAAGAATCGTACCAGTCATCAGAGGAAAAATATGTGGTCCATAAATGATTATTGTTAATTCTTTGAGAAATCAAATAGGCAAATACTGCTGTCCATAAGGGGTTAGATTCTTCGTAGTTGGTCTATTAATGTACGAGAATACTTGTGTGACTGCTATTTGCAACTACACAGTTCTGCTCATTCTTATCCTACTCTGTAGGCAGAGTGAATAGCACCTGTTCTTGCTGATAAACATGAAATGCTCCTGATTTTTATTCTCCTCATAATATGTACTGAAACGTTTGCTTTACATAT